TTTTAAAGATCCGAAACAGAAAAAGAAAAGTTTTATCGGACACGTAATCAAGATCTGAAGAAGAATAGGTAGTAGTATTTTAATATTTGAGGATATTATTTTTATGCATGTAATTTTATGCATTGTATCTGTTTTATGCAGAGTATTTGCGTAAACGTGCATGGAAATAATTAAATATTTGACACTAAGTATAATGAAGTACAGGTGAATACAGGTATGTTAGTTGTAATAGAATAGATTAATGTAGAGGTAAAAGTTTTTGGATATTTTATTTATTTATACGGGGAAGGAAATTTGGAAAGGGTATGTACTTTTTCGCGATCAGGTTAATTTCATATATGTTCTTTTTACCGGGTTTAAAGATTCAGAAATTGTTATGCATTTTCGTGAAATTTTCTAATTTATGAGAAAAAAGCAGTGTACATGGATATAGTGAAAGAGTGTGCGCAATGCCATTTTTGTGCAATTCTGGGATGTTTTTTTAAGTAAAAATAAGTCGACGTGTACATGGTTTAGTGATATTTTAATTAAATGATAGTTATTTTGTGATTTTATGTTTGTAGGAATTCGGTACGTTTAAGTTGAAGTAAACGTGCATGGAAAAATTTAATATTTGACACTAAGTATTTGTAATGCTTGCGGTATGAATTCGTTGGTGACGTGTATAATATAATAGATGATTTAGAGGTAAAAGTTTTTGGATATTTATTTATTTTATATGGGAAATGTCATATTTGGAAAGGGTATAAACTTTTTCGCGATCAGGAATTCATATATGTTCTTTTTACCGGGTTAAAAGATCAGAAAATTGTCATGTATTTTCGTGAAATTCTTCTAATTTATGAGAAAAAAGCAGTGTACATGGATATAGTGAAGGGTGTGTGCGCAATGCCATTTTTGTGTAATTCTGGGATGTTTTTTAAAGTAAAAATAGTCGGCGTGTACATGGTTTATGTGTATGTGTTATTTTGAAAAAACGCGTAAGGAGATGGATTGTGCACTTTTTCCCAATTTTTGCAGTGAATATTTGTCATGATTAAGCAGTTTGTTAGATAAAATTTCTGGCATAAGTGTAATTCGGCTAGTAGATTGTTGGAAGAGTGTTCAGTAGATAAAAAGAAAAGAAACATGTCTTTACTTCGTGAAGACAAAATGGCGGCGGGAAAAAAAAAAAAAAAATAGAGGGTTGCTGTAGGAGAGTTGGTCGCCAAATGTTCGCCAAAAAACGCCAAGTTACCATAATGTAAAGATCAACCACGAACTGTTTTAAATATATTTGATTTATATATTTTCTGTGTTTTTCGTAACAATAGGGGTGGTCTCGCAAACAGTCATGTCCTGTCAGACGTCTAAATAAAGCTACTGCTGTCTTTCTTGGAAAACTGGGAATGAAAGTTGTCTCTTCCTCCAGAATCCTCCATCTCTTAGGTTAGCAAACAGTTTAGTCGTATGAAAAGTAAGCGGTCGGTTAATGCGTTGCATTGTCAAAGTTCTTTTCTTAGCCAATGTATCAGTTTTTTTGTTTCCCATAATTTCACAGTGGGCTGGAATCCATTGAAAAGAAATTCTGTGTGCCATTGTCTTAACCTACAGTCTAAGATTCTTTGGGAACTATTTTGATTATTCAGAATGGCTTGAAGCGCACTTTTGAAATCGGACAATATGACTGCCTTTACAAACGAGTGGCTACGAATCGACAGTTGTTGAATAACCACAGTGATATCTTCGATTTCTCCAATATAAAAGATTTCATATAAGTTGCATTTTGTATAAAAAGAAGGTAAATATTATGTCATATCAGTAGCATCATCAAAAAACAACAGTTATGGTGGTGGTGCAGTAATGAAAGGTGGATTTGCAAGAATTACCATATACATGTGACAACCTGCAAAGCTGTGATTGCTCATTAATATCAAATGGCATCTTAAGTCAGTATGTTTATCCTTTTAGAACTAAAATTGGAACTTTAGTATTTTTATATCATTTAATATCAGAGTCGATTAAATTTCACACTAAAATGAATAAATGATGTTGTAAGCATCAGTGAAATATATTATGAAAGGTATGGAGTCCTTTTTTATTTTGTTTTTTCTATTCTATTATCCAAAATATTTTCTTTTTCTTGTTCCACTTATGCAGTTAATGAGTTTTTCATGCTTCACATGTCTCAGAGTTCAAAATAGCAAATCAATCAAGATGAAGCGAAATCATTGTTTTTTTAAATTAAGTTAATCCTATTAATGACACATCTTTTTTGACTTCATAGTAATTCTTTGATTTCTTTGACTTCATGTAAAAAATTGCAGCTCTGGACATGTATTGTTGCCTGGAACTAGAGGGTTAATAAGGCTATGAAAGAATTAAATTTTAACATGAGAGCTAATAATAATGTGTATTCTTACATAGAATCAATGCATATTTTCAAACCCTCTTTGATGTCTGACCCCTATCTAATTATTGCCAAAAGACTTAACTAATTTTTCTAGAGTTTCTTTGAAATATCTTCCAGAAGGATAAAGATGCATGGAATTGTTGCCTGTTGCTGATTCTATTTTATATGTGTATCCAGTAATAAAATGCATTTTTGCTATTAATTTAAATAATTTTTTGAGCTATGGTAAAAGAATTTAGTATTGTAATAGATATGACAGAAAAATTGAATACTGCTGGCATAAGGTAAAGCTTGTGTGAAATATTTTACTCCTTAAATCATGAGAAATTATGTAAGCAAATAAACTACAATTATGCTAATATGGCATTTATTTTTTATAGTTTAAAGATTTGTAATAATGAGAACAGATCATCTTGCTTTTCAGAAAACAAAGCTTATGATGTCTTTTTTTTTTTTTTAAACTTATAACATGAGATATTCTTAATTCATATATATATGCATGAGAAAATTTTGGGTATATGTGTAGTTTTGAGAAATTTTCTGTACATTTTATTGTTTTGTGAATCAGTTTGGTATACCTATTTTATGCAACAAATTTTGCATTGGACAACTTATTAAACCCAAATTTTATTTAAAAAAGGAAAAATAAAAACGTTTCTGCTCTTTTAAACTATGCCTAGTAAAATAACTTACAGGATTCAATATTTATATCTAGTGTGCACATTTATAAAATTCCTTGTGTAATTTTTTATAGGTATTAACTAAGATGCTGATGGATGTCAAAAATAGAAAATGGAATCAATCTGCTGCTCTTATTTTACGTGAAATATTGTGCATAAAACATGGTGTAGATGTATCACAAATAAATACATGAAGTATTATGCTTATTTATAACAAGTGACGGAAGCAGTAAGTGTTGAAAAGGAATTTAGTCTTATGCATAAGATCTTTTCCTGAACTAATGCCAAAAGCCTGCTTTGTCAGTCCATGGCAATTAAGTTTTATCGAACAAGATAACTAAATCAGATATATTTAGTCACTGATTTGAATGACCTCAAAAAAGAGTCGTCTGATAAGATGATGTAATTTTATGTTTCTGCAACAAAGATGACACTGTTTAGCATTTTCCAAGGAGAATATTTATTGATAGAAAATTCATTGGCGATACCACCTACAAGGGAGCAAGCAACTCGAGCATTCTGCAGAGAAATTGCTGTTGCCATTGTCTGCATATAGCCAATAAATGACATATTGAAATCACATGTTCTGCCACAACACTGGCTTTTTGATGTATGTTTATATATCACTCATGTATGCAGTTTGTATTTCAAGATTTGATCATGCTCTTTTCAGGGTTTTGTGTTGTTATTCCTTAGTATCGCATGATATCTAGAAAATAAAATTAGTATCATATAATTTTAAGAAACTGATGTACATCGTTATAATGAATATGACTGAAAACTAATAAATAAAAGATATTCTATTTTAAGCAAGTTATGCATTTAGAAATTTTCCCTTACCTTGCTATAAATATATTTTTTTATGAAATTACGTATAACATCTTCACTATGTTGTATTGACAGTCATAAAATTTCTGATTTTTGGCAATATTAGTTTCTATCTACCTCAGTTATATTCATGATTCACCTCAGTTTTTAGAATGGCAACATTATTATTATCATGTCATATTAGATAAATATCTAAAGTTTGGGCTTTTTAGTTTCCATGTCAAATGTAGATAATTAACAATTAAAAAATCTAAAATATTTTAAAACTGTATATATGTTATGGTTAAAATTAAAAATCTGCTTAGCATTAATAACTGGTTATTATTAATAATAACCACTTCTGGTTAATGTAATAAATAATGCAAAATAATTTTAAAAAATCTTAAATGTTTCAGATTTTAAATTACATCCAAAGGGGCGTTTTTTTTAACGTTTTGTGTGTTACCTTTATTTATTAAATATCATGTTGTTTGCACTTACACCATAAAATTTAGTTCAATAGCAATGTCGCAAAATAATTTTAAAATGAGCATATCTTTAGACTTTCTGATACACAGTTCGACGCGCTGGAGATAGAAAGGTCCCCCCCCCCCCCCCTCCCCGTAGAGTGTTGCCATTGCTCGCTTTTAAATCGTTGAGTTTGTTACTCAAAAATTCGTTAAAGGTTTAAAAAATATAAAATCGATAATAAAACAAATTCCAAATTTCAAATTTGGGATTTCAGATGCTCATATTCGCAGTAGGATTACGTCATTCAAAATTGGATGGCTCTAGATACCGTTGTTTTATCGCAATGTGAGAAATATATATACATTTATGCAGATTTTTCATTATTTAGTTTCTTCAAATATAATGCAAGACTCTAACATTTTGTGGCAGCAGTTTGAAAAGTGAAACGACACTTATAGGAGTCCGACGCAAAATCCCAAAACGAAAGTAATAGTCCTTCGGGACTCAAATCCCCTTGGACTAATAACATTTACTGATAAATATTAATAATTACCAATGAAGTTTTTTCAGTGGGATTTATTGAGCATAATAGATTGAAACCCCAAACACAAACGTAATTTTAATGTCATGGTATACGAAGTGCATGAAATTACATACATTAGCAGTTTTATTAGCGATGAAATTTAGTCAATGTAAAAAATTATTTTATAATAATGATTTCTGTTATTTATAAGATGCATTCATTATTTATTACATCAATCAAATTATATTACATACAAACACCTTAAGGTGACAAAAAATTGCAAAAAAAATTGTATTATAAATACAGTATTATCACATTTATAACAAACAGGAAATTGCAAACAAATTGCATTATAAATACAATATTATTACATTTTTATCACATTATTTATGTTGACAGAAAGAGAGTCTGAAATTTGAAGTCACAAAGTCTTCTTTTTTAACATTTGCAGTGATTTGTGTTATAAATGCAATGCTCAAATCCTTGAACACCTAAATCAGAATTCTTACGAGCACAATCTCTTAGACTTATTTCAATATCTAGAACTTTATTGATGAAAATAAAAGCTTCCTTGTAGATAGTAAAATCATTTCTTGTGTAGAGTTCGTTTAAAATGCTATGCTTTTACCTTTAATTTTCCTTCGGATTTATGCAAGTATTAGCTATAATATCCTGACTGTGAGCTTTCCCCTGAAAACCACTGGTATTCTTATCCGATCGGTTTCTCCTGAATAAGCAATTGAACGTTTTAAAAGCTTGCTTATGTAGCGACTGTTCAGCAAAGCGCTGAGCTTCTTTAATATTTTCTAAATCTTAATCAGGTGCAAAAGGAGCGTCTTCTTTGTTTCTGCACAATTTTCCATTTAAAAATCAATGAAACCTTTCCCTTTTCTATTTTCATCACTGGACTTTTCTGTTTCAGAATTATGTTGTTCCTCTTTTATTTGTACTACAGTCTTATTTCGGTTTTTTGCTGGACCTACAATAGATATTTCCACCTAATTTTCACTTAAATCATTCAGTTCCTTTTCATATTGCCATCATTCATATCACCTTGTAATGTTGCACGCTTCCAACCTGCACGCAACAATAGTGGTGACTGCTAAGAACTGGAAAGTAGACAAAGTCTTGAGAAGGGTTTAAATCCCTTTTTATTCAACTTTAGAAATTACAAATGCGTGCTCTTGACGCCTCACAAACTACGCCGACCCGGCGGTAAAATAAAAATAAGAACTAAGAAAAGAATAGTAACTAGTGACTAACTACGAGGCGCTCTAAACGTAACTAACCTCACCACGTTCTAAAATACCGCTGATAATTCAGCAAACTTCTGAATATTACATTGAAAGATTAACAATCTGCCGAGGCAAGCACACAGGCCGAAACGCATGGTTCTTCAATTTCTAACTAGCCATCTCCACGCTCGTGAAGCAAGAAAGCACACTTTCGAACTCGTTTCCCTTCTATTTAACTCAGATTACTTCCGCTGACAATTTGAATCCTTGCGCGTTCTACTAAAATTTACATACTCTGGCATTGGCAATTCCAGGGAAAAGTAAGGCTTGACAAGAAAGATAGTTTAAACTTAAAATAAATGTTAGTTAAAATAAATATAAACCTTACAACCTATATATTCTCCTTGATTGAGATTATTGTCTGAGGTTCGAAATAATCATTAAATTCGTAAATGATAACTCAGATTGTTTTCATTTGTTATCCCTGACGAAATAACAATTGCCAAGTAGGTTCAAACTGCAAACCAACTTTAGCTTTGCAACCAAACATAACATCACACTACGATCTAACCCAATGTGATGTGATTAGTTTTTCACAAAATGAATGAATTTTACCTCTTTGTGGTATTTATTCTTTGCTTCAAGCGAAATGAATAATATCGTTTCAGTGTCTTGGTTTGGCTAAGCTATGTAAGGATTATGTTAATTTTATTAACAGTTAAATTTTAAGTTCCTTTCCTGCCAAATTCTTAACTTCAACTTACTACTTACGGCCAGAACGTAGTTTTGGAATCACTCTGAATACTTAATGAGGAGGAGCGGTATTTAAACCTCGAAGTCTACTTGCTGAGTTAGAGAGAATCAGAGTTTCTGATTTGCACGCATCTGCCTTTTGGCTACTCTCTCTCAAAGCAGTTATTACGTTCGGCCATACTCAGGCCCTTGATAAGCTTCGTAGTCAAATAGAGTTAAGGGGCCAACTCGATTAGAATCTTGATAGCTTCGGCTATATCTCTTTAGTAATCTTAGTTTCAGCTTATTTCTTAGTCTCTTAAGTTCAAGCCCAAGTGTCGGCTTTTATTGTACACTCCAAGACGGAGTTTTGTTAGATCTTATTGGAATAATAAAGGGTTAGTTACCCTTCCATCTTGTTGTTTCTTGTCACACGAATTTAAGCGATTATTCGCTAACTAGTTCTTAAGGTTACTTACTTTTGACTGCAAATACACAGTAGTAAACCTCAGAGCTGAAAGAATAAAACAATAGACATGTGAAAGAACAAACACATTTTCTTTCCATACACAATTTTGAGTTTTTTCCACATTTCGAAGACTTTTCAATATCGGCAAATTCTCAGCCTTTATGAGCAAATTCTAGGCCATTGTTACTTTTCAAGATGCATTTAGTGCTCCAAGTATTGTGAACACACCGAGTAGATTATAAGCGTCTTCTTTGGCTCATTTTTTCTTTTAATGCTTTTAACTGAACGAACTTCTTAGATGGTCTTGAAAATAAATAATAAATTAAAAGTCTCTGTTTGCTTTTACCTGCATACCTCTCAAATCAGCTTGACACCTCGAATTTAATTTGTTGCTTTTAATTGGTTCAACAATAAGACCCTTTCTTGGAATGCTTTCTCTTGACAAGGTTCACAAAGATTTCAATATATGATTATAATTTCGATTATCATATCCTCATACTTTGTTTTAACACTTTCATCATTCTGTCTCGCTCATCATGGTCGATTGAAATGTGAATTTTATGAATTATTTCAAAATTATCCTCCATAAAATTATAATAATAAGTGACTGGTCTTTTCATTTTTAACTGGAACGACGAGTTTTTCAATAATACCAATAATTACAATGTCATATCTGGATAATCGTTGAAAATCTTTGTCCAGAAGTTATATTGGGATATGCAAAAAGTCTTCTCTTTGCTTTCTTTATATAATTTTTTTCAAACTATTTATACTCTTCTTTTATAAATAACTGATTTTTTTCCCCCGGATTTGAGCATGTCAATATGATCATCAGAAAGTTACTTCTAAATCATCATTCATGGTGCTTGTAAATACAGTAAAATTTTCTAAAATTTCAAAACAGTTACGTGGACGTTATCAACTGACAAATAAAGTGACATCAAATTGACACTACGCAGAATGTACAGCAATCGAAAATTTCGAAAGCCAAGTATTTGCGAGCATCCTAAAAAATGCGGGCACCTCCATCATAAAAAAATAATTAACTGATTTTGTCTAGTTGTTGACAACAGACAAAAACAAACTGGCAAGATTGCAACAGCTAATCATACGTTTGCACAATATTGAGGTTATGATGCCGCAAAAATATGTGCATGCGTGATGGCAAATCTCAAACTGAACACATTGAAAATTATTGCATTGCTGAAAATCATTGATACCGGTTCATGTGATTATGAAATTATGAAACCGGCTCATCTTATAAATTCTCATAAATTATTCAGTTTAACCAGTTTATTTTATTAGTATTAAACATAATCATTAATCATAATTCATTAATCATAATTCATTAATCATTAATAATAACTGATTAATGGCACTGACCGCAACATAGACAGGTTGTTCCAAAATACCGTTTACAAACTTTATGTGCTGGCCTGTCAGACCATGACGAATAAATTTCACACAGGAATTTGTGTCCAAAACTGTGACAGCTGCCGCTAGAGAGCGATGCTGGGAGATGTACTGGAGAGCGGAAAGCTAGATCATTTTAGGAAAGACTGTTGCAAGAGAATGA